TGGGTTGTCCGCTCCACTGCTCGCGCAGACATCCCATCAGACCCACCCACCCGCAACTTGGTTTGCAAACCTCATGCGGCGGCGATTGCGACGAGTGCTTGGCACTCGCTGGCGCATCTCTGCGGCCGCGCCAGCCCGCGCATGCGTGCGCGCGCGCCGGCAAAATAGTTTGGCGCGACCGCCGCGGCCGCGGTGGCGATGACCGCTCGGCACATCCAGGCGGGCACTAGTGTGCGAGTCGGCGACTTGGGCGGGCGCGGTATCATGGCAACGTCAACAGTTGTAGACACGATGATGATGATAATAGCGACGTTGGCGACGATGCTGACAGCGACGACGGGGCAGCCAGTGACGGCGCCGATGCCGATCACGCCGACGACGATGACGGTGTCTTCGCGTCGGTGATGAAGGTTTTGGAAAGAATTCGACATGCGCGCGTGGCAGACGCGTGAGTGGCTCGCACGGTAAAAATTTGACACGGATCGTGCCACCCCAGAACGCGCGCAAGGGAGCCGAACGTTTTCGACATGCGCGCGCTAAACCCGCATGGTAGCATCTTACGAAAATGTTGAAACACCTACGGTTTTCTAAAGATGCCAGAAACGTGCAATTTTGTTGTGGAAGCCCGTGTTGCGAGACCCTCTTTTTCCCTACCTAGGCTCTGCCTAGAAGGGTTCTTACCCTCTATGCTTAAGGGGCCGGGCAGTGTAAATCGCCCCGGGCGGTTCCCCCGGGATCCGCCCCGCGGTTCCCCCAGTTGCGCGCCCTGGGTTCGCCCAGCTTAGCTTAGCTAAGTTAAGCTGAGCTTAGCTTATCTCATCTCATCTTAGCTTAGCTTAGCTTCGCTTTGCCTAGCCTAGCTTCGCTTCGCTTATCTCACCTTAGCTTAGCTTAGCTCAGCCTAGCCTAGCCTAGCCTAGCTTAGCATAGCTTACCTTCGTTTCGCTGAGCGCAGTATAGCGCAGCGCAACATAGCATCTAATATCCAATCAGAGCATAGCATAGCATAGCATAGCTCAGCATAACATATCATAGCATAGCGCAGCACAGCACAGCACAGCATAGCATTGCGTAGCATAGCACAGCGCAGCATAGCATCGCACATCAAATCATAGCATAGCATAGCGCAGCATATCATATCATAGCAAAGCCTGGTAAACAATAGCATACCGCAACATAGCATATCATAGCATAGCGCAGCATAGCATAACATAGCATAGCATAGCGCAACACAACATCCACTATTTCTGCTGATATATATATATATATATATATATATATGTGTACTTGCCGCTCCTACTAATGTTGCTTTCCTAGAGGCTCCAACTCCTAGGTCGGGTCGCACTGGGATATATATGCATATATATACACATATATACGTATATATGTATATATATAAACACTCATATATATATGAGACACTTGACTTTGAAATCTTTCCGACACCGACGGTTTTCAAACAAGGATTTCGGCATGCGCGCGCGACGACGCGCGCGCACTTCGTCTCATGTGTTGCAGAGGATTCTCGCGACGGCACGCGCGCAAGCGCCTTCGAACGATTTCGACATGCGCGCGCCCGCGAAACTCGTTTGGTAGCATTTTCTGGACACCTTGAAATACCGATGGTTTTTTTCCCATACAGATTCGCAAGAGCGCGTATGTTTTTTGTTGGTCATCCGTTTTGCACAACCTTGTTTCGTTTTATATGTAATATGTTTTTGGACACTCGATTCTGTCATCCTTCCGACACCGAAGGTTTTTGAAAGGATTTCGGCATGCGCGCACGTGCGCACTTCGTCGAAATTTTCGCACGGATTTCTTCAAAACTTATGACTTTTGATAAACGAACGCGGGCGCATAACATTTGTTGCAGAATATGGCGGGGGGGGGGCGATACCGGCTTGGTTGGAATAGTACGAATTCACAGGTAACATGAACATTGGGTCATAATCCTATGTTTTTTGCATCGGTTCCCGGGGGCTCCTTAAACCTGGGGGGGGGGGTAGAACCTATTTCCTTTTTAGAAAAGGGGAATCTGCCTGGGGCCATCATCTGTGTAGTGCAATTTGTGTGGTGCAATCTACGTTGTGCAATTTATGTGGGGCACTCAAGTGTTGTAATCTACGTGGCGCAATTTACTGTGCTGGACTTCAAAGTGCCAGCTCCACTGCTCGCGCAAACATCCCACCCCCCCCGTCAGCACATGGGTTTGCAAAACCCATGCGGCGGCGATTGCGATGATTGCATGGCGCTGGCTGGCACACCGTTGCGGCCGTGCTAGCGCGCGCAAGCTCGCGCGCGGAGCGGCCAGCTGGTCTGGGACGACCGACGCGGCCGCGGAGGCGCTGACCGCCAGGCACTTCCAAGCGCGTCTCGCAAACCGCACACACAGGGGGCGTCAACTCCGCCCGGATGCGGGGGAGGCCTCCGACTCGCGCAGGTCGAGAGCGACGGCGCGGGGCCAGCCATTGTCCCGTCGCCGCACGCAGACGCCCGCTACGCCCTGGGAGCCTTGGCGGCCATGGGGGCGCCACGGCGGACGAGGCGATCGCTCTGGAGCGACCCCCTTTCGCCGATCGACGACGTGGCAGGCCTAAGCTGCAGTGGGCTTCTCAGTCAGTATACTGTGTGAGCCAATCTCGCCTGACTCCACCTCGTCCTCCTCCTCCTCCTCCTCCTCTTCCTCCTCCTCTCCACCCTCTTAGCTTCTGGCACTCGTTGCATATCTGCGGTTCTGTTTCTCATGTGGCTGCCGACATCGCAATCCTGCGGTTTGCGTCACAATCGCGATGCGTGTTGACTTCTGCTTCACAATCGGGTCTCCGTAACGTCATTCATCTTTCTGCTTTTCCGACCTGCCCCTACAGCGCTCGAAGATCGCCCTGAGAGCACCCCGAGAGGGCCCAAAGAGGGAAATCGTCTGACTCCAAGCGTGGGAAGTTAGTCCAAGAATCATATGGTTTGGAGCGATGGCCTCGAGGATGGCTCCAAGAGGTCCCACACGGTCCCACAGAGGTCCCCCCAACAGCCAGAAGAGGGCCTCACAGTCTTCCGAACAGCCTCCAAGAGACCTCCAAGACTCCAAGAGACCTCCAAGATTACTCCAAGAGGCCTTCAGGAGGCTCCCAGAGCCTCCTAAGTTCACCATTGTCAGTCTGTTCGGTTCACTGTGTGCTTATCTACTTGCCTTCTCCCGACTGTTCGCCTAGGGCCCCAGGCATCTTTCTGGATGGGCTGCAGGGGATGCGGCAAGCAGAAATCACAGTCGCCCATCCGCCTTGCATGGGTCGGCGGAATGGCATAAGACTGTCAGAACTTTCGCAATGGTAGAACAACGACACGTGAATATTGAGAATGCCAGACCGCGCTTCTGGAGCACGCTTGCAGGCCAACGTGCGTATGGGTTCCAGTAGAGCACTGATGAATAAGATAATGCACCACCACCGTCGAACTGCCCTATGATAGGTTGCGATGGGGTGCCAAGGGATGTGACATGCTGGCTGATGCTATTTACATTGAAAGTGCGAGATCGTATCTCATAGGCGCATGTGCTGTGCGTGATTGATTGCTCGGCTGACGGTATTATTCCAACAAATGGGCGAGGACAGAGGCGGAGACAGTGGACGCCACTGCGCCCGACAGCGTCGCCTGTGGCACTGGAAGTTGCACACCACCGCCAATCGAGATCGAAGAAATTAGTAACTGTCTATCTCGCTGCTGCTGCCCAACCGTATCCGCAATGGCTCTGTCCCGTCAACGGTGTGCTGGCAATGAGCATGGAGGATACGGAAGACTGCTTGGTTGATGACGAAGAGGCAGAGAACGGCATACAGGAGGAACATGTAGGGACGCGTACCTGAAGCTCTGGCTTACCGATTCCAGCGTGTGGGGCTCCGAAATTCTGGATCCTCTATATTATCTGTCCTGGAATTCACGCCGTGGACAATTATTTGAAAGCTCGTGGGCCCGAACTTGGCCGCCAAAGGGGGCACGCCTCATGTAAATACCGACGTTGCTGTTTTCTTTCGGAATGCCGGAAGTCTGGGATCTAGAAGCACTTTGGCGCGGAGTCGGGCCCTCAAGTCTAAACAAAAATAGTTTGATTTCCCGTATGCGAATAAGTACGGGATGGGTTGGAATCGTGAACGCAAATCGGAACTTGCGACGGGGGGGGCGCAAAAGAGTATGTTGAGCGGGCGGGAATGGAACAGACGGAGAAGGTATGCAAGACAATACATGGAATAGTCGACATTCGAAGCAGCAGCCGACCGCTTTTTAGGGCAAGGAACTCGCACCCTTCATAATGCACAACGGCCAGTAAGTGTGGCCCTGGAGCACAGGCGAGCTTTCTATAGAAAGCTCTTGGCACCACCGCCGCAGAACTTTCTCTGGCTGACGCATCACATGAATATATTCGGAGACATTGTCTTCTTCTTCCTCGATCTCGTCGTCGTCATCGTCCCCTCCTCACACCCTCCTCCACTTTCTATCCTCGTCCCTTTTCTTTAGCAAGCAGCGTGGGTCCCTTTTCTTTAGCAAGCAGCGTGGGTGCAGCCTGCTTCTCCGCCTCTTCTTTCTCCTCCTCTTCCTCCTTGACTTTCCCTCTCCACGAATGCCCTTGGCCCACGCAACTCGCGGTTGATGGCGTCTCTGCGACCCGAACAATCCCTCCGCGGGCTGCGAATACCCTGCGCCGTCTCTGCCTGCCGTGCCTGTTGTCTCGCGTCCGCGGTTCACCTCAGGGTTCCGGCATGTCCCCGATCGAGGTGAGGCCTCAGGAAGTCCACTGACTCGGTCCATCTCCTGAGCTCGCCTGGGATGGATGACTCACTCGATGGTCGGTCGCTCGGTAAAGCGATGGGCCGTACAAAACCACAAGGAGTGGTTGGCGCAGCGCTGCATCTGTTCGGGATCGAAGAATCGGCGTCCTTGCCAACCTGTCTGCTGTGTGGAGATTGGCGAGCACACGGCCTGATCCTTGCTGTCGTGGTCGCCGCATTTGGCCAAATGTCAGCCGCGCCAAACCCCCATGACGGTGGGCATCATATACCAGGTTATGGTGACCGCCGCTGCCTTACCACCCGCTGGCAGTCCGCAGGCGCTACCCGAAGGCACAAGCTGCGCGGCGACGGCAGCCGTGGGGCCCCGTGTCCTATCCAACGCGCAACAGCGACGCCCGAAGCTCGCCGACAACAATGTCACCTGTGCTGGCTGGGCCAATCATGCGCAACAGCCCTCAGCTTACAGGCGACATGGAGGCGGTCTCCAGTTGCACGAGCGCAGCACGCGTTGCATCGTGGCTTGAGCATGGACGACTGTTGATGCTGAGACAAGTGGCGGCAGTGGCGCTAGCGTCGATGCACAGCGGTGCAACGCTGGCAGTTGTGCGCAGCAGCGGAACGGACCTGCACCGAACCCTCCCTACCTCTTTAGCTTCGGAGGAAAACCAATTGAGACAAATGCGGCTCTCCCGTCCGGCCCACCTCCGCTCAAAATCGTTACCCGGAACCCTCCTGGGGTCCGTTCTGACTCGTACCTCAAATCGTATCCAACCTCCAGGGAGGGCCGCCGTTGTCTCGACTGGCCCTCATCCGACGAGCGCTGCCTCCCTGCGTTCTGGGGCCCGGCGAAGGTCTTCCAAAGAGTCCCAGGCGCACGTCGAGCGGTACCGCGAGGCTCGCTCGCGCACGCACGCGCGGCCGAAGGTTATGAGTGAGGTGCCAGACTCCCTCGACAGCCGAGGCGTCGGCGATCCTGGGTCACCGAACTTCGCGCATCGCGCCCCGCGATTGTCTTCGCGCCATCCGGTAGAGGGAAACAATTCATGGACTCTCCCCCTCCCCCCAAACTTAAGGCTGGCAAGCGCGGGAACGACTGCGGTCGATGTGCAACTCATCAGAGCCACCGCCAACTTTGATGATTGGGGGAGGGGGGCATTGACAGATGAATCTGGCTCTAGTGTTTTCCGAGGCCAGTTGCGCCCTCGCGCCGCTCTCTTGGAGAAGGGCAACCGCTCTGGACCAGACCGCGACGCGCGAAACGCGATTAGTTTCGCGCCCCCGCGGGTGACCTGGGCGATCGGGGTCAGGGGCAAGTGTTTCTCATCGGAATAGAATCTTAAATATCGCCAGAGGGTTAAACGCCATTCCGACTGCCCAGCTTGTCTGCGAAGCAACGGGGCATAGGCAGAGCGAGATTTCGCATGCGGCACCCAAGCTTCAAATTGTGACTGTGGCGTGCTCATCTCGCGCGTGCAAAACAAGCACACGGAAATGACTATCCCCTTTGAACTTTTGCGCATGAGCCCTCTGCCTGCAACTGCTGCTGCTTCTGCCACCACCCGCCAAAGCCATACCTGTAATACTCTTCCTGCTACCCTCATTGCCCAATCCACCGTTAAATCGGCGATCTTGTCATCCAACCTTGAAGCATCCGCCAACATGCCCCTGGCACAATGAGGCGGGTTGGACTGCGTATTCACAGTCTGGTCGGAGTTCCGTCATGCTCCAGGGGGGTCCCTCGTAGAAAATAGTTCCCTGTTTTCCAACTCAACGACCTTCTTGCTTGAGGGCAGCCGGGAAGGGCCAAAGGTAGGGACTGAGAGCCGTCCAGACGGCCCCAACATGATGCACACCCCAACATAAAGCAAGTGCGCACCAGCAACCCCCAATCTACGTAGACTTAAGGCGGCGTCCCACAAGATTCCTGGGAAGCGCATCCCGTCGTCAAGGTGTTCAATAGGAACAACAGATCGTATATTTGAACCTGGAAAACGTCGAGGAGGCAGATCGAACACACGACGAACAGGCATGCTCAACAAAAAACAAGCTACCAACTATCCATGACATCAATATGATGCATAACACTCGTTTTAGCCTGGGAGGAAGAACGATACGGGCAACCAACCCCCGTTGCCCTCTTTACTGTTATCGCGTGCCGACATCGGGTGTAGAAAACTATGGCCTTCCCGGCGTCCTGCTGCGAATCCTTATAGTTTTCGTGGAACATGTGGAAGATTCACAAGTTTAGAAAGTATTGGCACGTCATTCGCCCAGCACCGAAACTTGGACGCGGCACGCCGCTCTGGTCGCCCCCGGCCGGTTTCCCGCTGAGTGAGGCCACAGCGCCGTGCCCCCCCCCCCCGCGCATTTGCCAAAACAGAAAAACATGTGCCGTCGGGCACAATGTGCGGTCCGCTCGACGACGCCGTCCACTGCTCCCGTGAAGAGCTCCTTCGAGTCCACGAATTGATACATCATGGGGCCAGGAAATCCTGCTTGTCCAGGAACTCAGGCACTAACATGATGAAATGTGCGCAGAGAAGGTGAGATATGTAGGAATGCCCTGCCTTTTGCATGGCATGTTCTTCGGCCAATGTGAAATAGCTTCAGGACAGCCTCAGAAGGTAACACGAAGCCTCCCTACATGGCCCAAGACGGCCTCATGGGGCCCATGGGGCCCCCAAGGCGACCCGAGGAACCTCTAAGGCCGGCCAACCCCAAGACGGCCGCTTCACGTCCAGACGGCCTAAGCAAATGTTTTACCGAATCTCTTCGGGAGAACCACCTAGTGCCATCGCGTCAAGAAGGTCAACGCGCGAACATCCCATGGTGGCGCGGGCAGGCTCCTGGGTAGAACCAAGGTTCTACCGCCTCGGGCACAGCGGAGGCCTCGTAGAACGATGATTTCACCGAGCCCCTTCGGGAGCGCTCGATAGAAGCATCGTCGAGGACAACCCAACAGCTTCCTTATAGCACCATGGTGGGCAGTGGTGAAGAGATCTCGAGGCTACCTCGGTGCAGCGCTGGTACGGTGGCGGGGCTTGCCGCAGGCATTTGGATAAATCTACCGATGGGCGGTAATGTACACACATAAAGCAGCATAACAAATTTGCTAATGTCTGCTGGCACTTTGATATTTCTGGAACTTGAACGCCAAGCGTTCCAAATGAACACCCAAACTGGCATTCGGACAAGGCGTAGAAACGCACACAGTCGCTCATCATAGCCCAATTCGACTGACCAAGCTGTCGATGGTAGTCCGAGCCTATCGATCAAGCTAAGAACAAACAACTGGGTGAAACTTTAAAATGACACGGAGAAACCAAGCTCTACGTTGCCGCAATCAGCCTCACGTGCCTTTCTGGAATACTATCTTCAAGCGCCCCGCCTGCGGGCGACTTTGCAGGGCAAGGAGGGGAAACAAACATCAGGACCGGATGGCACCTTTACACCCCAAGCGACACGGCTACCCAATGACCGATGGTAGCTAGCGTGGGCCCCACACAGTGTATTCAAACATGCTATGCGGTGCAAGGTGGTGTAACAGATGTGATGTCAGCAACGTGGTTCAATATAGGTGGTGCAAGCTATGTGGTGCAACGAATGCGGAACAACACACGTGGTGCAAACTATGTCGTGTGAAATATGTGGTGCGATCTATGTGGTGCAAACTATGCAGTGTAGGCTAACCCCGTACCCCGGATAATACATCATCCCCCCTTAACCCCCACTAGTTTTATCATCTTGGTTCAATATGACTTAGTTGTGGAGAGGGGCGCGGAGGCCGAACTTGATAATCCACGGGGGAAGTTGCGAATCGAAGTTGGTATCATTTCATGATGACTAGCAACAGCACCAAAAACGCTGAGCATGGCCATGGTGGTCTCACCATATCAGCACGGAGTGCGCCACCTTCGAGGAAGCAAACGCTGCCGCCCACGCGTGCACCAAGTACCTCCCGTGCAAGGGCAGTTCCAATAGGTGCCGAGGCTGCATGGGCGAGTGGTTTGAAGCCCAGCGCAAGAGAGGTTTCTTGGCCAGAGCGGCCAAGGACCTCTCTGGCGCTGGCAAGCTGTAGCCACGACCCTCGAGATTTCTCGAATCAGTCTTGTGCCATGGTCTACAAGTTCAGTCCACACGAGCGCCCACGATAACCGTCATCATGATCATACTATATAGCTAACATCACCTTCCCCGGGAAAATCGTTGATTATCCCCGCCAGACCCCCGAACTTTGTTACCAGGGGGGTATAATTATCAATCGCACTCGGTTCTATGCTGCAATACATGTGATGCAATATTTGTGGTGCAAGCTACGTGTAGCAATCTACGTGGTGCAATATATGTGGTGCTATTTATGTTGTGTAAGAGACGCGGTACACTCAACAAATAAAAAAGTAAGGGCAACGGCTTGACCATGAGGTGATATGGTGAGAACCATGCACCTAAGATGACGTCGGCGACGTATCGAAATGTCCCACAACGAACCCTATGATGGCAAGCGAGACGATATGTGAGAGAAGCCATGGGATGGACAAGGTAGATCGTGCATGGACCTGGCCTTTGTCCGATGCCATGATCCAGTAGGGGCGCACAGCGTAGTGCACCACGCAGATCGGACAGCGCTGCCTTGAGCCAAGACAGCGTCGGACAAAACGTTCGCTATACAGCCTCTCCTTAAACCTCGCTTAAAACCAGAAGGGAGGGGCCGAACGCAAGATCCAAGTCCTGACTAATTAAATCAAATAAGGAAGGAAGATCGGCTATTGTTTTTCAGCGTCCCTAGCAACATACAATAACAAAAACACAAAAAAAGCAGCGCATCGTATTAAAGCCGGTCGTGACGCATTGCCACGACCAGCCGCAGACGATCATGGGCAGTCACGGGCAAGACGGCGTGACTACCCAAAGACAATTAAGGGGGACGTCCAGCCATTGGGCCGGAGGTCAGAGCGTGCAGCGTGTGAGCTGAGAGGCTAGTGCCCGTGTCTGGGCACTCGTGTCGCTGCTGGCTATGCGTGTATATGCCCGTGGCCCGGCGAATCTAACCACTTGTAGGTCTGCGTGCCCGTGTCCGGGCAAGGATAACTACTTGTCTGCGTTTGAGAAGTCGTCCTCGTTGATATCCGCTGGCCCTGAATACGGCCCCCCTATGTTGACGTTGTCTTTCTTGCCTCGGTAGGGCGTGCACTTCTTTACTTCGTACAGGAAGGACTGAGTGCCCTCCGTTACTTGCGGCAGTGACGCGCGATCGATGCACCCCTTGGCATGGCCGTCAGCGGTTATTTCCCGTGTATCACACCACACTACGCTATGAACTATACCTCGGTCCATCGATTGTCTCACCCAGCGGATGTATCCAACCAGGGTACATTCGGTCGGCTTCTTCACGTCCTTACTTGACAGGGTTACGAATACCGACTCAGCGTCTATGTTAAGGATTGCCATAATGCTGAGACCACCATGCCCATAATGTTATTCAGTTGAGTGGGCGTTCGGCGTCCAGCTTGTAGCTCATGTAGCGACTATGGAAGGGTAGCACAGTCCTCAAGATCATGAGCGGCTGCCAGTGCTTCAGCTGAGTAGCTGGAACGTACATGCAAGCGGTGCGACCTGCAATGTGCATCGATCAAACGTGCTACTGCCTCGCCATGAGGCGCGCGTCCGCGCATTCGGGGGTTAGCTCCTCGGATGCCGCATCCCTTGACTTCGTCAGCTTCGCCCCCATTGGGGCGGCGATATCCAGAGTAACTGTGAAGGTCCACTTGTCCTGTCGGAGTCATGATTTGATCTATTTGTTCTGTTGCAATTGCTGAAGTTTGCGCGTGGCGGCGTTCAGTTAGCAAATGGGGAGGTTCGTAAGTTCCTCTGCGCGCTGGAATGGCACCGCGCGTGCCAATGACCGCGCCTGAGGGATTTAATGCGGTCGCCATGGCGCCGCGTAAGCTGATGAACAGGTCGGATGCGATCTCCGTTGCCTTTTCTGCCGCTACAGCGCCCGTAAGTTCTGCGTGCTGTATCGGGCGAAGTCGTTTAATGTATTCGCGCTGATATAGCTGGGCGCGGGCGCCCTCCCTCCGTCGCAGTGCGTCGCGCGGCGCAGTTGGCGCAACGGTGTTTGTTGAGTTCGCATGCGCCGAACGTGCTTTCCACGCGTTTGACGCGCTTGTCAATGGTATCCTCCGCTTCTGCCATGTTTATGTTATCGACGTGCTTGGCTGTTGCGGAGATCTGGGCTTGTCTCAAATTCTTCCTCGCATGGCGTAGGTTCTAGCCCGTGTCCTCGCGTGATAATTCTCAGTTTCAGTGGGGCTGCCCTCGGGGCGTCTTTGGCGCCGGTGCCTGGCCAAAGGCGCTGCGGACAGCGCTTTGACTCGTCATGGGGCGAGAAGCTGGGCGATGCAAGTAGCGCCGAAGCTGAACCGGGTGGAAGAGCAAAGCAGACCATGCGCTCTTTCTCTCCAGCGGCTTCTGCCAACTCGCGATAAGCCCGACCTTTCATGTATGCCTCGTCGAAACCGGTGGAATACCATGATCAATTGTTGTTTGCGCGCGGCCGCGCTGGCGAGCTATCTCTGGCTTGCTCGGCGAGCTGTGCCTGAGAGCGCTTCTACGCCGAATGCTTCGACATCCACGAAGCCGCGAATAACGAGGCGTAGATGTACAGTCAGTTCAATTTCGCCTTTGTCGTTTCTGACTACATTATTGCTGTCTGGCGTCGCGAACCATTTGTCATTATGACATATTTTTGAACTCAGTGTACAAAACTTTGGATATCTTTGTCAGATTGGCGAGTCTGTCTGCCTTCTCCGGGAGGTCGTCTTCCTTGGCGACCGCAGCTCTTTTAGCTGCGGCTGAGACGTGCTCGCCGCGCAGTGACTCGCGCTGTTGCCCTGACAAAGCAACCTGAGCCATGGCGGGAGCGAAGCATGGCTCAACGTGCTGACCGGGGTCGTCCGAATCGAGATGGTAAGTCTCGTTGTACCCAGTGCTTCAACAAGACAAGGATCTGCTCGATCGAGACCCCCTCACGGGGGCCTCCTGTGCTCTGCACCCACCGAGATGGCAACGGACAACCACGCGCTTGTGGCTGTGGCCAGCGAAGAGAAATATGTCTGGTACCTTGGACCGCAGTATACCGCGTTTCCATGATGTGTGCCTTCAGATCCATTTCTGATTCTTCAGCAATGGTCCGTGGCCTGCCGTCGAGTGCGGCAGGCGCTGGAGGTCGATTCTTCTCCTGGGCTTGGCCGCCCGACGCTGGCGCGTCCGCCGGGTCCTCAAACTTTGAGAGGTCCTCAGCAACGCCTGCTGCAGGTTTTGATGGTTTCAAGCACTAGGTGATCCACGCGCGCGTGGTTCCAGCGATGTCATGAATGTCATGGGCGGTGCCTTCGTCATAATATACCGGGGTGCAGCTATCAGCGCAGGGCGGAACCGCTCTTTCTGTGCGAAAATAATTTCTGATGAGCCACTGCAAGGCTAGATGTACCTTGGGCGAGAGACGACGCGCCGCAGTCATCCGCGAATTGGCTTGCTCGGTCCGTTAATAGCCGAAGACCATAGCAGGCTTCCCCGCATGCAAGCTCGCGATAAATGCCAATGTTGTTCGCATTGCCGAAATATCCTGGCCGATCTCGCGGGCCATTAATATTTCAATATATAATGTGTGTCGTAAGTCTGGGGAATGCGCCGGGACTTCCCAACCGCCGACCTGCGTTGCTGCATGGCCGCGGCCAGGGCAATTGCGGGCGATGGGGCATGGGCCGCATCACCCACCCCAGTCGTCCACAATAATGGTCGGGCGGCGGTAGTCCACGAGATCCCCTGGCTGATGATAATGGCGCCCCGCTGCTGTCGTCTTTGTGCGTAGGGCTCCGTTGGTTTTAAATAGTGCAGCGGCTTCTGTAATGGCCTCAATGCTTCTTTCTCGGATCCTTTGTTCTCGGTCGCGATCGGATGTTTCCGTCTCCTGTTAATAATCCAGTGCGGGTAGGTCTGGTAAACGGGCCGGTTGTCGTCCATGCAGTATTTGGCATGGAGACACCCGGTTGTAGAAGGTAAAAGCATTGCAGACACATGAGACTTCGTGCTGTAGGCGTGCAGTTGTAAGTCGTCTTCCATAAAATGTCAGGTGTGCATCAGAATTCCATTGCGCGCTTCAATGGCAGTGGCGTGCTGACCTCTGGCGCGAATGCGAAGGTCTGTGCCTTAAGCCATCAGGTGGATTTGACGGCATCATCGTCGCGAGCGCCTTCGCCATCGGAGTGCAGCACTGTGGCTGGGCCGTGCTGCATCGAACAGTTGTGATAGGCGTCTAAAGCATTAAGCATTCTCTTGTCGGCAATCTCTTTGCCTGCAACGCGATGTGTTGTTGGTAGAACGTCA